GGGGGACCTTGCGGGCGCTGCAGGATTTCAGTCCTTCACGGCGTAGTGTGTTACCAATTGTTTTATTGGTGACTATGGTCCCAGCTGCCTTGAGATCATTGACAAGATCCTCCCGTGTAGTTCTGGGCTGATTCCTCACCGTTGTCATGATCATTGCAACTCCACGAGGTGAGATCTTGCATGGAGCCCCAGGCCGAGGGAGATTGACGGTTCTTTTGTGTTTCTTCCATTTGCGAATAATCGCACCAACTGTTGTCACCTTCTCACCAAGCTGCTTGGCAATGGTCTTGTAGCCCATTCCAGCCTTGTGTAGGTCTACAATCTTGTCCCTGACATCCTTGGAGAGTTCTTTGGTCTTGGCCTTGGGGGAGAGTTTGGAATCTGATTGATTGATTGCTTCTGTGGACAGGTGTCTTTTATACAGGTAGCAAGCTGAGATTAGGAGCACTCCCTTTAAGAGTGTGCTCCTAATCTCAGCTCGTTACCTGTATAAAAGACACCTGGGAGCCAGAAATCTTTCTGATTGAGAGGGGGTCAAATACTTATTTCCCTCATTAAAATGCAAATCAATATATAACATTTTTGACATGCGTTTTTCTGGATGTTTTTGTTGTTATTCTGTCTCTCACTGTTCAAATAAACCTACCATTAAAATTATAGACTGATCATTTCTTTGTCAGTGGGCATACGTACAAAATCAGCAGGGGATCAAATACTTTTTTCCCTCACTGTATGAAGACCGGCACGTCACATGAGGGGGTGGGTGGCCAGCACCACGCCCGACCGCCTTTGTCTCCCCAGTAGCGATGTTCACACACTGCACCAGGTACTCATTTTGAGGCCGAGTCGAACTAGGGGAGGCCCGGAACCGGTTTGGATAATCGTCACCGTTGTTGGCCGTGAGAAGGATTCGAACTTGGGAGGCCGGGGTTCATAGCGCAGCGTAGCGCTAACCGCTCCCACTACCGCCCCCTCGTTACACGCACACAGACAGACACACACAGACAGATACACACACAGACAAACACACACACACAGACAGACACACAGACACACACAGACAGACACACACAGACACACACAGACAGACACACACACAGACAGACACACCAACAACAACCGCCATTCGCCACTAAGTGGCGGTGACGTCACCACGACGCTTGTGCCAGGCCATGTGCACCTTGAGGCCACGTGAAGTGTCGAACGCCTGCTGGCAGGAGGTCACGGGGCAGACCCAAGTGCGACGGGTCGACTGACTAAGATGACTGGCTGATGCACCACCTGTGCCCCCTACTGTGCCAACCTGCTGTGCTTTAGCCACCCGGCGCTCCGCTCGTTGTTGTGAGCGTCACTCCTCCGCCCTCCGTTGTTGTTGGAGGGCGACTGCCTCCAACTGCCCAGTAGCATCCTTCACGAGCCTCCTCCACAGAGGCCAATCTTGACACCGCTGGTACCAGTCATCGGCAAGTCCACTCAGCTCCACGTCCTCCTGTACCACATCACTCCATCTCTTCTCTAGCCAATGCCGCGCCCGTCTAGCCCCCTCGATCCGGCCGAACAAAAGCTGTTTCGGCATGCGGTGGCTGGGCATGCGGGCTACATGACCCAGCCAACGCAGCCTTGCCTGCCGGAGGAGCTCACCGATGGGACCTTGCCCAGATCTTTCAAGGATTTGTGAGCTCCTCACACAATCCAGCCTGGTTAAACCCAGGATGGATCGTAGGCAGGCTAGCCTAAATGTTTCTAACCGGCGAAGATGTTCAATTAGGGGGGTCCACGTTTCGCAAGCGTAGAGAAGGGAGGGAATGACCGTGGCCGAGAAGACCTAAAGCTTAGTGCGGAGCGACAGACCAGGTAGCTTCCACACAGCGTTATGCAACCGATGAAAAGATATTGCCGCTCGACTGATTCGGAGTGAGACCTCTGCTGTTAAACTGGAGCCGGTCATAAGCACACTGCCCAGGTATGGGAAACTCTCCACTCTCTCCACAACTGCCCCATCACCGATTGGGAGTTGTGGGGGTGGAGTGTCCGATTGTACAAAATACCCAGGCAGGTGCTTAGTTTTGGTGGGGCTGATGGTAAGGCCCCATCTCTTAATGGCACGCTCCAGTCTCAGCAGCAGCGTCTCCACACACACACACAGACACACACACACAGACACACACACACGTCAATGCGCATACAAATAGGCGTGCGCATATATCGCGTGTGTATAGTAGTTTAATATTTAGATATGTAACATTACAACTTACCGCGTTGAACACGGCGTGCATAAGTAAGAGATATATATATATACTGTATATAAGCACGCCCTGCGCGTGCGGTTCTTTATATTGGATGATTTTTTTTCCGTACGGCAATGCGACAAAGGGACGATTTCAACAACCTACGGACATATGTACATTGCTGTTGCATGCGTACGCATTCAGCGGCGCGTTTAAAGATAGCCTCTGGATGTGTTTAATATAGAGGCGTATGCCTGTGTGGGGGGAAGCCGCATGACGCGAATGATTATTCGACAGGTGTAGTCGGATGTCAAGGTGCGAGGCGGGAATAGGTCCATCTTTCTCACCTTCCAGGTGCGGGCATCCATGTGCAATAAATATATATGTCATAACTCACGCACGTGTGTAAACATAAGCAAGTTCAAACTACATCGGTGCACAAAGCAAGGTTATTGAGCAAATACCATGGACAGAGCTAAATGGAAGCAAGACCGTCACCGCCAAAGTCTCCGAGCCAGGAGATATCACGTCGATGAAGAGAGAAAGAGGGGGGGGGGGGGGGGCGGGGGGATACAATACGTGAGCGTACGAAGGTCACCCAATGTCATCACAGGACACGCGTGCACACGTATGTAGACATCTGCACGCACGGATAGTGCGCGCTGACACATTTGTGCGTGCACGCATTAACCGTGCGCACACCGCACGGCTTAGGTTCAAGGGACCATAGGGAGTGGAGGAGGGGCTGCCCCCCCCTCGCCCCCCCCCCCCGGCCCCCCCACCGCGCCTAATTTGTGTCTCGTCTTGTTTACCTAAACACAATCGTCGCCTGAATTATTCACAGCGTTGCAGGTTTAATTAGCGAAGAGCAACGCGCGCGTGGATCGCTTTGCAGGACAAAGATGACGCAGGGCTGTTGCCAGACATGGGCAGCGACTCGACCAGCTGAGCAGGCAGAATCCGCGGTGAACAAGTACCGAGTACTGAGTCCCTGCACGCTGGAGAGCTCGGTGGTGAGCATGCGGTGTGAAGAGCAAACCACGCCTCCTCGCCTCCACCAACCCGCCCCCCTCGCCCCTCACACCACCTTCCTCACCCTCTACCACCACCGTGACACCGGCATCACCTTTTTCAGTCTACTCCGCCATCACAACCGCCGCCACCACCACCACCACCACCATCAGGCACCGTCACCCTCTCGCCACCCCTACTACACACACCACCACCACCATCACCACCTTCCTCGCCAGAGCCGTCCCTAGGGTACACGGCGGATTGGGGCGACCGCCCCGGGCCCCGCGTTTGGGGGGGGGGGAGGGGCGCTCATCGTCGTCACGGTTTCAGATGTAATACTTCCGATTTAGTTTGAAGGCGTCGGAGGTGGGTGGGGGGATTTTCCTCGACCCCCCCCCCCCCTTACCCGTTCCTCACACTCCCCACATCTCTATCACCACCATCACGAGAAGGCACCTTCCCCCCCCTCTCCTCCCTGCTGGACGCATCGCGTTACCGCCGCTCACTCCGCAAACGCGGACCCAACCCAATTCTGCCGCAGTGTTTCGGGGCGCGGCTCTCGACACCGCCGAGGGATCGCCTCGATCCGATCGGATCCCGCAGACGGCGGATGATGGCATCCCAGCGCTTCTGGCTTACGGAGCCGCTCTGTCGCGTATGTGTCGAGCAACATCGCTCCCCGTGTCGCCGTGAAACGCAGTGGGGTCTTTTTTTCTATATGTAATCGTCTCGGCGAGGACGCGCAAAGCAATTCCTTTTCGTAAAACGCAAGGCACGTACACTGCACGCGCATGTGCAAACAAAAGACGCATGTGCATGTATGTGCACACGCGTGTATATTACACTATACACATGCATGCACATATACTTGCTCATGTACACACCTACATGCACACATACATACATACAGACATACATACACACATGCGGACACATGCGTATACACACACACACGCAGGGACATACAGATATATACACATGCAGGGACACATACATACACAAACATACATGCACACACATGCACATATGCATACACAGACAAAGATACCCCCCCCCCATAGCCTGCACAAGCTGTTGGGGCAAGTGCTATCAGCGAGCACCTTTAAATACACGTATAGGAAGCACGTATCGTTGTGACGAGCGTTTAGCGCGGCGAAATGCATCGCGCGTGCCTCTGCCCGACACTGACAGCCTTGTGTCGCCTTCACAGCGCAGCAATCCGTGCGCTTCAGCCGCATTGCAGTGGCTCCTCGAATTAATTAGCAGCAGCAACAGCAGCCGAAGCAGGGGAACAGACAGCGGCAAGATGGCACAGCCAAAGAGCACAGGCTCACGGACGCATATACAACGTCTTAAAAAATAAATGCATCTCAATAACAACCGTGGTGGGTGTCTCACGCGAGCTCCCGTGCCCTTGGTTTCTTTGGCGAACGCAAAAAAAAAGAGTTCAGTTCACGCGCAACAAAACCGCCGCAACTCACGGCGACACAACACACATCCGCGAGACACCTACAGAGCCGCCGCCACCACCACCCCCACCCAAACAACACCGCACCGCGCTAAAGACCACCACCGCCGCCGCCGCCGCCGCGACAGCAGCCGGCTACCGCCTATACCACTTAGCCCCGAGCTGGTATGGGCGCCAACACACACGCGCACACAGAATAACCCGCAAAACGCAGCAGCAGTGGCGGCGGCGGCGATGGCAGCAGACGTCTCGGTAAACCACAGCGCGCGGGAGTCCGTGCGCACTCTTACCCGCAATCCTCGTGGCAGACATTCGCTCCGGAGGGGGAGGCAAAAGGGCCCCCTCGGTTGGCGCCTCGAACCTGGAAACGTTTACGAGCTCCGCGCAGGAACCCGGGGCTGGTTGTTGTTGAACATCCCAAAAGGCCTTGGCTGGGATTTCTCAGCTCAGATAAACGCACGCGCGCGCACTGCGCACACGTGTGTAACACACGTGTGTGTGTGTAACACGCGGTTCCTAGCAGTTTCCCTCTCGTCTCGCGTCGCGACCGGCTTGTGGCGCGACCGGGATTCGTGTCGCAGGTGTGAAAACGTGTTTTTCCTACTGCCTCGTTTCCGCTTATATATTCTATGCGAGATGGCTTTATCAGAGCGCGTGTTAGCCCTTCATTAGACTGATGAAATTGGCGCAGTCGAGAACTTGTACAGCATTCAAAATTGTGGGCAATTTGGAAAAATGCAGATAATTACAAATAGCGGACAATCTTCTCGTCGACGTCAGCTCTCAAATAGCGATAATTATCAGACATTAAAGGTATTTAGCCGCGCACAAAGGCATATCATTTATCATTTTTTAACAGTTTGCTGGGAAATGACAGATTTTTGCAACTCAACTGAGAATCTCCCCCCCCCCCAACCCATCCCGTTTTTGCCCATCCAATACAGTGGCACAAATACAGAACGCAAAATAATGCTAATGTTTTGAATGTTCGCTGCTTGATGCGCATTGTAGCTAAAGGGCTCACCAGCTCGCGCTACATTCATTCTCTCTCAGTGTGAGTGCCCTCAAACACAGAGAAGCCACCTTTACCCCCATACAGGTCACGCCAAAAAAAGGAGGGCAATGATGACAATTGTGCTTTTTTTTTTACAAATATATTATATTCGTATGAAATATATTAATGCCCCCTTTTGGTTACGGGGTTTGGAGGTTTTTTTTTACGTTAAACAATAGTGCAGTGTGAAGAAGGCGGCGCGCATGAGGATTGTTCGCGAGGCGCGTGCCACGGTTGAGCCTCTTGCAAAAGCCCCCCACGTTATCGACCGCGAGACATCGTGTAGCAATTAACCTGCAATTTGACAGAGCGAGCAATGCCCAGCATGTGTGTGCCCCTGCGTGCGCGCGCGCGTGCGTGTGTGTGCGCGTGTGTGTGCGCGCGTGTGTGTGCGTGTATGTGTATTTATGTGCGTCGACTCAGCCTCAAAAGAGACAAAGGCGACCGGGCGTGATGCTGGTCACCCACCCCCTCGCGTGCCGTGCTACTCGCTAACAATACCTGCTTCTAAAGTCTGTTTAGGCTATGCGGGGGATCTTTGTCTTTGTGTGTATGTGCGCGCGCGCGTGTGTGCGTGCGTGTATGTGTGTATGCATGTGCGTGCGTGTGTGCTTGAGCGTGCGTATGTGTGTGCATGCGTGTGCGGCTGCGTGTGCATGCGTGTGTAATTCCGTGTGTGGTTGCGCATGCTTTTGTGCGTGCGTGTGCGTGCATGCGTGTTTGGTTGCGTGTGTGTATGCACGAGCGTGTTGGTGCATGCGTGAATAAGTGTTGGCGTGCACGTGTGAGCGTGTGGACGTACGTAATGGGCCACACGCATGCGTTTGTGTAAGTTCGTAAGTGTGCACGCATAGTGCAATATATAAGCATGTGTAAGCGTGCGTGCGTGCATGAGTGCGTGTGTGCCTGCGTGCCCGAGTGTGCATGCGTGCGCACGATGCAATGTATACGCACGTACATGTAACCGTGCCTCCAATGCGTGTCATCGTGCCTGCAATGCGTGTGCGTGGGTTTGTGCATTTGCATGCCTTCCTGCGCGCGTGTATGCATATGTGTGTGTGTCGAGTGTGTATGTGTGTGTGTGCAAAGTAGATCTCTCCGTTCCGCGCACATAGAACGAATTGAGTAGCATGCGGTCCGTGCATAATTGCCGTCTGCACATCAGTGCAGGAATGTCTTCCGTTCCACGCAGGGAGAGAGGGGATGAATGCGCGCTCTGCTTCGCCTGGCCGCTTCCCGCGAGGAAGGCTGCACGATTTGTCACTCCAACAATTACACACGGTTTCCTTTGCCCGGGCTCTTTTGCTCGCTGAGATGCACGGCAGATCTCCCAGCAAACTTATGCGTAGACCTTGAGATTAACATTGATTCCTCATCCCCCCCCCTCCTCCTCCCAGAAAAAAAATCTTACTGGTACCAGTCCTGGGTGACCAATGCTAACAATGATTTTCTGAAATAATGTTATCTCTAGATCACAACGCTACGTGATAGCAAGGTCACGGTGGTAGCTGTTTTTGATGAGAGAGAGAAACATATCGTGAAGGGAGGTTGTATTATAATCGTTCAAGAATTAGCATACCTGCACGGTCTCACCGAAAGTAACCCAATTATGAATCGTGTCGTAGTGTGTTTGGCAGACAAATGTTGTTTTGGAAAAGAAAATAATTGTGAAGGGATACATCTGTATGATATTCAAGTCAATATGAAGTGTGTCCATAATACAGGCAGAATGGGTACTGCGCGTCTTGCCCGATGATGGGTACGGGAGGCATTTGCCACCCTAAGTGGTACCGACCCAACCCCGTTTCGTTGTTTGTGCTAACACCACGGGCTGCGACGCTCACACCCACAGTTAAATGTCACAGAAAGCTCAAAAGGTGCAGCCCAACTGCCCTAGACGGAGGCCCTCTCTGGGGGGTATTTCGGCCCTGCTCTTCCACGCTCTCCATACGTATTGGAAAACAAGGGAGTGCCCACAAAATTTACCCCACCACACGCGACCTGCTGTCCGACTAAATGTGCTGTATCCACGCCTACTCCATACAAATCTTGCCAGCCCAGCCAAAGCAAAAGCAATACCGAACACAAAATCAGTAAGCGTTGCCGTAGAGCATTATGGGAACGGGGTAGAGTGAGGGGGGGGGGGGCTCCGGGGTGGGGGTGGTCGGAGAAGGGTTGAGACATTGCTGCCACCGTCCCCTCGTAATGACCTCGGGAATCTGTCAGTGATGACGAGAGAGGGCAGGGGGAGGGAGGGAGGGATTAAATGTTATATTTCATGGTTTTTTTTTCTTTTTTAAAGGCCATAAAAGCTACGCATGTAATAACTAAAACGATGAACAAAGCAAAGTGTCGAATAACCGAGCATTTTTGTTGCATTTCTTGTGATCGAAAAAAAGGAGGGAGGCCGGGAGAGAGCCTCCACCTTGGTGCCTTCACCTCATGCGGAGGGGATCGGCGGACACTGTCGTGGGTGCACGATCACAACCCCTGTGAGGCCAACGGCAGTTGCATTCCATAATGATCGTCTCGATTGATGGAACTTAGTTACCAATAATGATTGTTGCAAGTCAGTAGTTTGTTTTGAGGAGGGAAGAGGACATGAAGTATATTGTTGAAAGACTGGCACTTTATTACACTTAACCAGTGATTAATTTCTCAAAGAATATTGTTGTATGGTGGGGGGTGGGGGGGGGGAAGGAGGATATTTTTTGGAGTTCAGATCCAGAAAGCTACGGCTGAAATTGAGCCCTAACTTGGGCGCAGTGGTGCTGTGGCGGCTTACCAAAGCGTACCGTCGTCTGCAAGGTGGACGTTAAAGACACCACTGGCTGGCAGCTTTCCAAACAGGAGTCCGTCACATTCCACTGCCAAAGCCCACATTTATCAACAAGCAAAAAAAAATAACTCACAATCAGTACATTAATACTAACATAATTCGATTAAAGCTTTTTTATATATATGGCAATCTAAAGAATCATCAACATCATTTCATTGCTCTGTCGCGGTTCCCGTCTGGCCGAACTGCCGCAAGGGAATACTTGTCTTGCGTTCAAATTAAGCAGAAACAACATCTTAAAACATACATCGAGTGTGGGGGGATCATGGACATATCTTCCCGAGGTGGGGGGGAGATTGGTAGGTGGAGAACGGGAGAATGGGAAGGAACTGAAATCACGGAAGAGATGAGATGATATGACGGGCGGATGATGCGTCGTTGGCCGCGGTGCGGAGTGGGTTGACGAGGTCTTCCTGGCTGCAGGTGATGCGAATGTAATCGGCGTGTCAGTGGAAGAAGAAAAAAACGAGCTCGCGCGTAACTGACCCCTTAAAAATGATTTAGTTAAAGATTAAAGGATGAAATAAAACAAGAACGTGCAAGGAGGTTCAGGCCTCCTTGGGTTCGCGAGCCATCCCACCCAGAGGTCCATCATCGTCATCGTCAACAACCGTGGCCTATCCACTGCTGGACGACAAAGGCCGTCGCCATCTGTCAAATGATATCTTCCCTCCCATGGAGTTTCCTGAAAGTCACGCATCTCACCCAACCTCCTCGTCGCCTGTTTTCCCCAACGCCCCCTGCTTGCTCTCTCGTGTCTACTCTCCCCGCTTCCAGCGACCCGCAGTGACACCAGCGTGGTGAAGTATGGTCAGATAACCTCCACCACCACCCCCCCCCCCCCCCCCACCCCCGACTCGCACGGCGTCGAAGATGGCACCTCATCTCATCCAACTCTGGATCTACTAAAGAGACGTTGTACGCGGATGAGTCGACGTTCCGTTCAAGCCCCCCCCCCCCCCACCTCCTCACACCCCCGACCGTCGATGGGTCCCATGCCCACCATCTGTGGTAACGGTGAGGAAATGTCAGAGTCACGATGACGTCCGCAGTGGAAACGTCTCATTTGGTAAATAGATTCCTGCTGTGCACCGACGTGTCGCGAGTTTTTTCATTTTGCCAGCCACCTTGGCTGCATTAAATAAAATGTAAAAAAAAAAATCTCAACACATTTAAATGTAAATAAATAAGGATGTAACAGACGACTTTTCCGGTAATGACCCTTCTTCGTGTATCCAAGAGTAGGCAGCATTTGAGACTTTTAATTTAAAGACGAAAATGTTAGTTTATTGTGACACTTTTGTAATACATACACAAAGACAAAGATCCCCCGTATAGCCCCCACCGACTGTTGGGGCAAGTGCTGTTAGCAAGTGCCTATGAAAGCTGGAACGACACACGAAGCGGTGGGTGGCCAGCACCACGCCCGGCCGCCTTTGTCTTCATAGTAGTGATGGTTACACACGTACACATTTGAGTCTGAGTCGACCTAGGGAGGCCCAGGACCGGTTCAAACAATCGTCACTGGTGTTGGTCGTGAGCGGGAATTGAACTCGGGTCGCCGGGTTCGTAACGCCGGACTACCGCTCCCCACTAACACACTCACGGAAAGAGCTGTATAAGGATTAAAATGTACAAACACTGCATTCTCATTTCCCTACATTCAGAAATCACCAGGCTCAAGGCAGGCCGCACGTATAAACAGAGACGCCTCTTCACCTGAGCGCCACGCAGACTGGCAGAACGCGTTGTGGTGCGCCCACTGGAAGAGAAAGGAAGTAGAGGCATACATCCTCCACGTTTCGTGTCTCTTTGCATCCCTGGCGGGATCTCGCGTCCATTCCCCATTTCGCAAGCGACGGGGTGCAACAGTACAACACACACGCGCCTTCGCGGCGCGCAGTACAACACAGTGCGACGCGCGGCGCCACGATGGCGAGATGTTAACTCCCTCGCCTGGTATGCAGGAGGTTCGTGGGTTCGATCCCGACCCTGACGCCTGCTGTATATTTGGAGTGTGCATGTTCTCGCTGTGATCGCGTGGATTTTTTTTTCTCCAGGTCCTCTGGTGTTTTCCCTGCACATTTAGAATCAATTATGCGTTTAGAGAATTTGGCTGCGATACATTTCCACGTAATAAGCCACTTTGTTGAGATATAATTTGTGGCCAGGTTGCTTGTGAAAAGAGCTACATAGGTCAGTGGGCCTGACTTGGTAAAATAAAAAAATATATTTAAAAAACTCCTTCAATAGCAGCCGGAAGGGTCCGAAACGAACCATGTTCCAGAAATGTATATCGGCACTCATCCACATCCATCTCACTGCCTTATTTTTTTTGTTGTGTCCGAGTTGCGTGCGACTGATCGCTCAGGTGTGGAC